TGGTCAGCAGGTAACTGCAAATGGAAAAATATCTTTTTACAAGAGTTAAACAGGAACAGCTTAGTTAGTTCATGAATGTTGAGCAGGAAAGAAGAATTTTAGCACTAACAGATCGATTCCTTACAACCTTATCTGAGCTTCTTTTATTTATGTACTTTTAATTGAGTTGCTCTTATATAAACCAGACATGACGTTACCTTCTCGAGGGCTTTGGCTTTCTCCTCAGTTTTCTGCAGCACACTTTTAGTGTGACTCGTAGCTTTGTCGAGAATGGCCTGTGAACAATAAACAATAGTTTTCAGTCATCAACTGATTTCTGTGGGAGTTTCATGCAGTTTCTAACTACAGAAACTAGTTTCAGTTTGACTAAAGGAAAATGTTTTTACACATGAAACACACGGGTCAGTCTCACATTAAATGCATGACGTGCACATACTCTTTAATCAGTGGTGCTCTATGAGGCCACACAAGGCAGGCTCTGCTTGTACAATGACATTTAAAATCATTAAAGTAAAGTCAATCCTTCCCCTTTAATTTCAAACACACGAGCCATAACGTTTCTCTAACTGCGTTTGGTTATTCTGGATAAATCTGTGGGCTTAAATAAGTGTTTATATTTGTTGAGACTCTCTTTTCCAATGACGGTACTAACTTCAATAATTACTTCCTCCAAACCATCAATGTGTGTATTAAAGGAAGTGTGATGGGTTTGAATTCTGTCTGTTGTTGTTTGTATATTAATCTTGAGTCTTCACACAGGAATGGTAATCATCTATGCAAACAGATGACACAAATGAGTTAAACTACCAACACGTCTTAGAGACATGAAGGCACCGATGTCCCAAGATTTCCTTCTTCTAAATCCAGACAAACTGGCAGATCAGACAAACCAAACTGTGCAGCGCCTGGACTGATTAAAGTAAGCCTATCACTCATAATAATGTCATGATTCATAGAACTGCATAAGATCAACAGGACTCCAAGAGCCTTCATCAAGAACTCAATAGGAATGTGACAAACAACACTTCAAGTAGCCATGAAGTTTGGGATTTAGCGAGGAGATGCTGTGTCCCCACGGCTGCTCTGCATAGCCTGAACCCCTCACTAAGATCACCAACAAGACTCCTCTACATGGATCAAGCAGTGAAGTGGACGAGACGTGGATTCACTGATCCACACCAGTACGATCTAAAGCAATGATATCGAATGTCACTCAGACTGGAGAAGTGTAGTCGGATTGTAACGAGAGGGAAAGTAGTCAGAACCAAGGGGGTTGTGATATTTGATATCTTGCAATTCCTCTGCTCAAGAAGACACTTCACAGCATCGACAGGCCAATGGATGGGGGAGTGTTCTGTAAAGCTTTGGACGAGAACCTCCTTCCCAAGCCTGAACACTATAGATCAGTCAAGGATGGATCATCTAGCACGATAAAGACCTAAAACATATTGCCAAGGCAACAATAGAATGGCTACAGAAGAAGCATATTAAGGTCATGGAGTGATCGACAGACCTCAATGCTACAGAACAACCTATGAAGGAAGCTGAAGCTTCAAGTTGCCACCCAGTAGAAAAGGATTCAGAGAGTTTCTGTAACGTGGGCCAGAATCCTTCTAACATATGTGCAAACCTGGAGACCAACAACAAGAAATGTCTTAATGCTGTTCTTGACAACAGGGTTTCTCCCCAAACACTAGGGCTGCCACGATTAGTCGACTAGTCACGATTACGTCGACT